GAGAGAGAGAGAGAGAGAGAGAGAGAGAGAGAGAGAGAGAGAGAGAGAGAGAGAGAGAGAGAGAGAGAGAGAGAGAGAGAGAGAGAACACATGATTTTGAGTGAGGGAAAGACGTTCAAAGAACAAAAGAGAGGGAGAGAAGGCCTGATTGAAACAAGGAAAATGTGTCGGAGCAGTCAACCTATGAGGTCGAGGTGCAGGCCAAGGAGACAGAAACAATTCATTCCACTTTATAAAAAGCGCAGATTTCCTAGTTCTGACGTGAAACGTATTATAAAGCATGGATTTTGCAGCTCTGATCACATGTACTTGTGTGGGATATTATGTATCATCCATCACAGGTACGTAACTGGTATTCGAGCAGAGGTGGAGAAGATGGAGCGCAGTCTGAAGCTGTTCAGTGAGGTGCTTGAGCAATGGACGGAGTGTCAGAAGAACTGGATGTACCTTGAATCGATTTTCTGCGCTCCAGATATTCAGCGCCAGTTGCCTAATGAGTCAAAGGCCTTCTTTGCAGTGGATAAACAGTTTAAAGATATTATGCGCAGAACTCGGGATAGGTCCAATGCTTTGCAGGTGATTCCCTTCTACTCCTCCTCTTCCTCCCCCTCATCCTCCTTCTCCTTTTCCTCCTCCTCCTCCTCCTCCTCCTCCTCCTCCTCCTGCTGTTTGTCTATGTCCAATAAAAACTTCACGTTGACCATTAACTATTGGAACAAGGTCGTCCAGCCCTTTTAATCCTGTCCTCCGTCCTACTGCTACTGCTACTACTACTGCTACCACTACTGCTACGACTACTACTACTACTACTGCTACTGCTACTGCTGCTACTGCTACTGCTACTGTTACTCCTACTACTCCAGCTCCTACTCCTACTCCTACTACTCCTACTCCTACTGCAACTGCTACTACTACCGCTACTCCTACTCCTACTCCTACTCCTACTCCTACTCCACCTATTACTACTCGTGCTGCTGCTGCTGCTGCTGCTATTTTCCACAAACCACAAGGATATAGGTACTTTATATCTAATCTTTGGTGCAATTGCTGGAGTAATGGGCACATACTTCTCTGTACTAGTTCGCATGGAATTAGCACAGCCAGGAAATCAAATTCTTGGTGGAAATCTTCAACTTTATAATGTGTTAATAACAGCTCATGCTTTCTTAATGATGTGTGCGCCGCTGCGGCTACTGCTGCTACTGCTGCTACTGCTGCCACTACTGCTACTGCTGCTCCTACTGCTCCTACTGCTCCTACTGCTCCTACTACTATTACTACTACTACTACTACTACTACTACTACTACTACTACTACTACTACCAGTACTACTACCTGCTGCAGCAGCTACTGCTACAGCTACAGCTACTATCCTTTGAAGGCTGCAAGTAACCTATAAAAATTAAAAAAATAGATTTTATACCAATAAATAATTGAAGTATAAACAATAATAAACTACCAGGATTTTGCAGCAAATTTTCTCTCTTTTTTGCTGCCCACCTAGAGGGAATTTAATTTTGGATCTTTGGACTCCAAGTTTTTGAAATCGTGGTTTTACATGCTACTACTACTATTCCCACTCCTACTCCTACTCCTACTCCTGCTCCTACTCTCACTCCTACTCCTACTACTCCTACTCCTATTCCTACTCCTACTCCTACTCCTACTCCTACTCCCACTCCTACTCCTACTCCTACTCCTCCTACTCCCACTTCTACTCCTACTCCTCCTCTTCCTCCTACTGCTGGTGCTGCAGCTGCTGCGACTGCTGGTGACTGTTTCTTCTTCCTTGGTTCTGCTTAAACCAGAGGTTCATGGCTGAAACTCCAGAATCAGCCGGTCATGAGCTTGAAAGCCTGGAACCCTTGAAGCCTTGAAGCCTGTCTAGTGCAGTAACTTCAGTAGTGTTATCAAGGCTTCAAAGCTTCGAAGGTCCCTTAACCACTGCAATGGTTCCTCACGATGAACCTACAGCGGCCAGCAAGGTTGCGTTTTTGGCTCTAAACAGCAGGATTTGTTTGATCTTTCTTCTTTTGTTTTAGGGTGAAAACAGTAGGAATATTGAGAAGGGATCAGATGAACTTTGGACGCATTTGGTACTGTGTGCAGAATTTCATCAGATGAAAATTTGGGCAATGATTTTCTTTTGGTTGGCACACTTTCTCTCAGTAAGAGGATGTTCTCTAACTTTCTTATCAAGTGCACTGAAACAAGGAACAGGAAAAAGGGGGGGAAAGGGCCTCAGACATCATCATGCATGCAGCATAATTGGGTCATGACTCATAAGGAAATTGTACTATGTATTAGCTGACAAGGCTACAAAATTATAAAAAGGCACATCGGGCATTTTAGCTTTGGCTTGGTGTTTAGCTGAAGCCTGAAGCTGATGATAATCTGATGACTATTGTAGCATTATGCTGTTGTTGTAGTAATTCAGTATTGCTGTAGTTATAGCAAAAATCCACGCACATTACCATGTCATACACGCCTTAATCCGAAATGAATAGTGGTGATCGTGTGATTCTGAAAGCCAGCAACTCCATATCTGATGACTATGATGCAAGTCCCACTCTCTCTCTCTCTCTCTCTCTCTCTCTCTCTCTCTCTCTCTCTCTCTCTCTCTCTCTCTCTCTCTCT